GGGGGGGGGTGTGAGAGGTCTGGGTCCCGGTGCATGGGGGGGGTCCCGGTGCACAGCAGCCCCCCAGGCTGGTGCATGGGGGGCGTCTCGGTGTTTGGGGTTCCCGGGGCTGGTGCACGGGATGGGGGGGTGTTCCCGGTGCACGGGGGTCCCGGTGCGGTGCTGACGGCCCCTGCCCGCTCCCGCAGAGCTCGCGGCACTCCAAGCTGGAGAAGGCCGACATCCTGGAGATGACGGTGAAGCACCTGCGGAGCCTGCAGCGGGCGCAGATGACGGGTGAGCGCGGGGGCCGTGACGCCCGGGGGGGACCGCGGGGGGGCCACCGCGGGCCCGGCTCTCACCCCGTGCCTCTCTCGCCCTGCAGCCGCACTCAGCGCCGACCCCACGGTGCTGGGCAAGTACCGCGCCGGCTTCAACGAGTGCATGAACGAGGTGACGCGGTTCCTGTCCGGCTGCGAGGGCGTCCCCGCCGACGTGCGCGCCCGCCTGCTGGGCCACCTCTCCGCCTGCCTGGGACAAATCGTGGCCGTGAACTACCCTCCTGCTGCAGCGGCGCAGCCCGCGGCGCAACCGCTGCACGTGCAGCTGCCGCTTCCCTGCAAGGTGAACCCGGCCGAAGCCCTTTCCCCCAAGGTCTACGGAGGCTTCCAGCTCGTGCCGGCCGCCGAGGGCCCCTTCGCCTTCCTCATCCCCAGCCCGCCCTTTGCGCCCAGCTCAGCGCCGCCGCTCGCCCCGCTCTACGGCAGCACGGCGGGCGCTGCCGCCCCGGCCGCGTCGCCCGTGCGCGGGCTCACAGCGTTCGCGGCCGCCCAAGCCGGGGGGCCCGGCGGAGAGCGCGGCGGATCCGTCTGGAGGCCTTGGTGACCCGTCCTGCACGGCCAATTCCCCCCCGCTCTGGCTCCGTTCTATGGAGCCCCATTACAGTTTATTTTTTTTGTCCTTTTTTGTCTTTTTTTATCAGATTTAAACAGAAAGACCTCACTACGAACAATCTATTTATTATTTGCAGAGGTTGGGATCACGACTTGTATTTTTACTCCTTTAAAATGCCTTTATTTGAGATACCTTTTTTTAAAGGAAAAAATAAATAAAAATAGTTTTGTAACAAATATTCAAAGTTGAAAGCCAAAGCTGTTTGTATCTCGTCTCTGTGTGTGTGCGTGCCTGTGCTCACCCCAAGCCCTCCCCCAAGTTGCAGGTGTTCAAATAAATTCTTTGAAATAGATAAATTGATAAGTTTTTTTTTTCCCCCTCCTTTATGTAGCTGTGGTGGAGGGGAGCAGACAGGGATGAAATATTCCCTGTATCTGGGAATAATCTTCCTGACCCTTGTGGGGAGGGATTTAATCAAGGCTGGGGTGGGTCAGGGAATTTTGCAGAATTCCTGCCCAAAAGAAAAGCACAGATATAAATGTGGGCTAAACAAGCTCCTCTTCCTAACTATTTGGGGGAAAATGCTGAACTAAGGTGAGTTTTAAGCTTTTGCTCCTGGCTTCCTTATCCTAAGGACTCCGTATCGCAGCGGGGTGCCCAAAAGGGACCCGTTTGTTGCCTGGGGCTGCTGGCCCTTCTTGCGGGAGCAGAATCGGGAGGGAGGAAGGGCCCCCATGGAACGGGGAGGGAAGAAGGGTCTCCTCGGTTGGAAGCAGGGGGTGAAAACCATCCCAAGGGAATGCTCGATGGGGAAGGGACAGCTCTGGGCACTCTGCTCCCTGTTTATGGGCTGGGGAGCTCATGCAATATTGATGAGAAGCCCAATAAATGACACACATCCCAGGTAAGGCCGGATCTAGGGACGTTATCCATGTTGGCCAGGAACATGGGATGGCCCCAGGCAAAGCAGGAATGTTCCTCCTCCCCCAATCCCAGCGCTTTTCCCAGCAGCTGTGTGAGCAGCAGAGGAACCAGAGGTGCTTCCAGCTCAGAGAGTGACTTGGCATGTGTGAAGCCACCGCTGAATCCCTCAGAGCTGCTGCTGTAGAAGGTAAATGCAATTTTTTTCCCCCAAATAACCCTCTAAAGGGATAAGGCCAAATCGAGTGGTAGGCGCAGTAAGAGCAAAGTGCTGGAAGGGGAAAGTCCAAGGGATGGGAGGCAGCGCCAGGGCGATAACGGGGCTGCGGGGCCACAGGAGCGGGGAGGAGGAGGAGGAGACTGAAGGCCAGCCCAAGGTCAGCTCCCTCCCTGCCCCTCTCCCACGGTTTCGAGGGGATTGATGCCCTGGGAGGATCCTCAAGGTGGGATGAGGCTCCTCCGGAGAACGGACACGCTCTCCAGGTCAGCGTTACCCCCTGGAGATGCTTAATCAGACCCACTCCAGCTGGGATACAGATCCATACAGAAGTCAGCACCAAATCCCTGCCCCATTATCACACCTGCTCCCACTGCCTTTAACCTGCGTCTCCATCGTGGGGAACAACCCTCGAAGCGCCAAACGCGACTCGGGGACCTCCCCGGGGCAGCCGGGGGGGCTCGGGGCCGCGTGGGTGGGACACTGCCCCGGCAAAGGCTTTCCCAGACACCTCACACCCATTAGCAGCCCTCGGAAGCTAAATTTAACCTCAGCTTCTGGAAGCAGCTCCTGGTTTACAGCTTGCTCATTAAGGCTGCTGCACATCTCGAGATCCTGCTCTCCTTTCCTGCAGCCCTTTGGAGAGGCGACAGCACGGAGCGCTGCTGTTCAGGATTTAAATCAGCTGCATCTCCTGCCTGCTTATTTTTAGTGGTGACCTGTGTGGAAGGAGGGTAAAGGTGCCTGCCCTGCGGCGACTTCCCCGCGCAGCGACGAAGGGGCTGCTCGAAACCAGCTCTGGTTTCACCCACGCCTGTGACCTGCACTGTGCGCTTCACTGTTCTCCTCCTGCCAGGGCGGCCTGTCACTTCAGTGCCACCGAGTTTGCACGTGTGGAAACCACCTGGCCCCTGGCTAGAGAAGAGCCCGTGTCCCTGTGTCCCGACACGAGGTCGGCCCGGGCAGCGGCCACGGCCGCATCCTGCAGCATTTTTGCTTTTCATCATTCCCATTACTGACAACGTGTTACTGCAAAGCAGGGCGATGGGAAGGCGCTGGAATGGGAGCTCTGCTCCAGAGGGTCACAGCTCGGTCCCATTGCTAGGGCTGCACGGAAAGCCCGGCCCATCCACACTCCCGCTTTGTGCCGGCATCCCTGTGCAGAGCCAACAGCCCTGCCTTGCTGCCAGGATGTGGTTCCAGCCTGTGGGAATAGCTGTGGGTTAGATTTAATCTCCCCAGCACCAGTGCAGCAGGGCTGGGATCCCGGGCGCGTATTCCGTGGTTGCAACTTAGGCTCTTGTGGCTTTGCTGCTGCTCTCCAAGCTCCTGCACTCAGCTGGGGGGTGTGTTACAGACCTGCTCCTGCAAACGGCGTCCCTCGGAACCAAAGAACTGCATCCTCTTGAGGTCCTTGGCTGGTTCCCCCAAAAATGCACTGGATGGGAGCCAGATCATTGGAATAGCAAGAGCTGGGGTGGAACAAGCCCTGTTTTCCAGATGTGAATTGTTGCTTGGAGCTCGTCTGCTCCAGGAGCAGAAAGTGCTGCAGGATGAGCGCCTGGAGAAGTATCGAGTATCCTCCCTTCCACCTCGCTGGAAATCCATGGAAAATCCAAATTTGGTAGCCTGCAAAATGTAACACAGATCAAAGGGTTTGCAAATGTTATTTTTACGTGGAGTGGGGCTATAAAGCCAGTTGTGGATTTAATTCTGCTTTTGTTGGGTTTAAACTTTGCCAGAGCCAAATGAAGTTGTTATGATTGGGTTGTAAGGATAAACCTCACTAATTACAGTCCAAACAAACCTTTGGGTCTTTTCACCAGGAAATCAAAACACGGGCGTTGTGTGGGATGAAGGAAGCTCTTTTTATGATTTTCTTATAATACTGCATATCAAAGAGATATTAAAAGGCATGCAAGGCTTCCAAAGGTCTCCCTCTGGCCCAATCCCATTCCAGAGGTAACAAAAAAAATCCAGACACACCAACCACTTCTCTGCAGGATTATAACAGCGATGCAGAGATACCCCTCAGGTACTGTTCCAGGTGATAAATAAGTGTAAACTGGTAAAAATTCCACCGGTTTTAGCAAGAATCTGGATCAAGGCCAGAGCTGCTCGTGCCATAAAGTAGATAGAAAAGATTGCAGGGGCCCCAGACTGAACTCGTCATGAGCCTCATTGACTCCAGGGCACGACCGGGCTGGCGACGACGCTTTGCTGGCGTCCCAGAGGAAATGCAGCTTTTCTGCTGCACTTTCAATGTAATTTTATCTCCAATTCTGAACAAAAAGGATGGGCTTTTGGACGCCAGCAAGAAAAAGAAGACTGCAAAAATACCGGTTGGGAAACAATCCCTTCGCTTAAGAGCTGTCAAAATACTTAACTCGGTATAAAATCGTTTAAAGGGTACTAATATTTATAGGATGAAAGGCAAAAGAAAGAAAAAAGAGCCCGAAATGCTAAACATTCGTGCAACCTCCTTTGCATATTGCTTGAGACTTTTTGAGGATTTAGACCGTGGTTCTTCTGGAAAATGAAAAAGCAAAAAGCCTAATATGAAAGCATCTCTTTTGGAGCTCTCCTAATCCCTGTAAAAATTAGCCAGACCACCCTATTTTGGACCTTGCTAATGCGAGCCTATTAGGGCTCTGCTTCCCTGCAGTGATTTGTTTCCCACCTTCTGCCCCTTGCATGAGCTTCTCTGTGAATCCATAGCCTCAAATTCCTTCCAAGGAGCTCGGATGGGAAGGGATGCAGCCTGTTCTCATTTGCTGACCCCTTTCAGGATTGATCCGACCGAGCTCCATGGGCCTCCACCTCCTTCCACTGTCAAGTGCTATATCTCAGGTTCAAGGGATGCAGGAGAACACGTGTGTCTGGGACTAGCTGCAAACGGATTTCTTCGAGCCATCTCATAAGATATGGATGATGGAAGTCTCCCACTGATGACCTGTCAGGCAAAGCTGCAGCACTGGGTGCTGGATGGGATGACACATTCATAGATAACAAACTTTGCTGTCAGTCACCCGTGCTGCTAGACGGGGACTTGACGTGACAGCTCTGGCTAACAACAGTTTTGACTGACGGCTCCACGAATTGCAGAATATGGAATGTGAAGAGAAGCAGGACTCAGCTCCAAGTGGACAGAGCCCTGATGCATTTGAAAACCCGGAGCAAAATGCAGGCAAGTTTTAAAGTATGGTGGGCAGAGCCCCTTGCCATGATGCTGCCCTGGCACCTGCTTTGATTACCTGCTGGGGAGCATTAAGCTCCGAGCTTCTCGTCAGGTCTGTCCTGTCGCGGTTGGGAAGAGCATCCTGATGGAAAACCCAGGCACTGGAGAGAGAACAGAGCATAGGGAGAACGTGGCATAGAGAGAACATAGCATATAGAGAACATATAGCTCCCCGGAGCAATAGAAACCCCACTGTGGTAGCCGAGCATCAGGAAAGCAAAAGTCAGGACTCCATCCCAAGCTGAGCACCGATGCCAGGATGGAGCCATGGAGTGACTGACTCCCATATCCTCCCTGGAATTGCCCATTTTTCCCCTGCTGGAAAAGCTTGGAAAAGCTACTCCCCTTCTCGCCTGTCCTCCTGGCTCCCTTTCCTCTCCTCCCTGAACCCTGCCGATTATTTCGGGCGAGTGCCGAAACGCAGCCGGCTCTGTCCTGGGGCGGGAAGCCAGCGGGTGAATCAGCTGCAAGCCAAGACACGCTCCGGGACGCGGCTCCAGGGAAGTTACTCATCCCGTAAGTCGCCCTTGGCTTTTGCTCGGCCTCGCTTTTCCCACCGTTGCAGGGATCCTGCTGGAGCCGCGGGGCTGGGAGAGGCTGCCACGGGACACCCGGCCTGGGAAAGCGCCTGCCTGCCAAGGCCGCGCGCTCGGAGCCGTCCCGGAATGGCAAAGCTGCCCCCGGCACCTCGCTGATCTCATTGCACCACTGCA